CGAAACACAGCAATTGGTAAGAAAACACATAATGAACACCTTCTTAGATCTGCATAGGGACACTGAACAACATAACAGACAATGTCCCCACAAGGGGCTTTTGCAGAGGATTCACAAACAGTCTTCATACAAATATTTTTTAACTTAGCCCATACTAATATTTGAAGGTATTATATTAAGCCCCAATGGTTTGAAGGTTGTTCCAATGGGTAAAAAGCATTCCAGGCTCATTGTTTCTCTTTCTTATTTTTTGGAAACTCATTATTTCTCTTTCTCATTTTTAAAACCGAGGTATAATTCACATAGAGCAAAATGTACAAGTTTCAAGTATATGGTTTGATGAGCTTTGATAAATGTAAACATCAGTGTAGCCACAGTCCATTAAAAATAGAACATATTCATCACTATCACTACAGAAAGGTTCTTCATGCCTCCTCCTAGCCCTCACCCAAAGCATCTGTCACTGTAGCAGAGTTTTGCCCTTACAGTTCCATAGGAATGAGAGCATGATGGCATGTAGTTTTGTCTCTGGCTGTTCATACTCAACATGATGACTGAGAAGTCAACCATGTTGTACATGTGTTAGCCGTTCCCAGCTCTTTACTGCTGAGCACTATTCCATTGTAGGAATAGACCACATTTTGCTTATCCATTTATCTATTGGTGACCACTTGGGTTCTTTCTAGGTCTTGACTATACTGAATTAAGCTACTATGAATATTTTGGTTTATGATGCTCCAATTCAAACATAGAATCCTGAAGTGATGGCTACATTTCCTTAGACAAATGGTTTTGAAGAAAGAAATTGGCAACAATATCTTTTTGTGACCTTATGCCCATACCTTTTTATGATCTTATATGAATATCTTTTTATGATCTTATGCCAGACTGGTAAGATGATGCTGGGCTTACAGATGCCATGGCAGTGACCTGGGTGTGCCTGCTCAGGCTTTCCTCCACACCCTTCATTAGGAACCAGAAGGCCACCCCCCGACATCTTTGTTTTCTGGGACTCCTTTGGAAAGACAGTTGCCCCTCAGGTATCTAGGGAGCAGTGTTAGCCTTTAACTTAGAGGCTGTACAAGTACAACCAAGGAGAAAGAGGTAGACCCTTCCTGAGAATGGGCAAGAGTTTAACTTCTGGGGATGGAATAACGGTGCTCCTTCAGGATATGGATGACACTGGAGTCTATAAGTGTCATGTGATTTGGGCCCCACATTCATAAAGGACTTTGGATAATATCTGCAATTAAAACATTTATGTGTTTTAAAAAGAGATAGTATTAATGTATAATATGTAAACACTTAAAATGCCTTAATATTTGTAAACCAGTTTGGCATGTATTAACTTCTAATAGAATAGGAATCTTAAAAATTGCAGACCTTTCTCAACTTTTAAGAAACCCTATGTGTCAGGCTAAAGGAGGGAACAGGGGCATTTGCACAGGCTATTCTCACAGGTCCATTCCAGATCTAAAATGTATACTTATTTTTCTAAACATTATATGATAGGGAAAGGAAATTTTGCCAATTCTACATTTTCTAAAGAGTCATACCTGTCATTATATTCTAACAAGTTTTTTTTAAACAGGTTTATTTTGAGAGAGAGGGGGCGGGAATGCGGGCAGGGGAAGGGCAGAGAGAGAGGAGAGCATCCCAAGCAGGCACCAGGCTGTCAGCACAGACCCCACACAGGGCTTGAAATCACAAACTATGAGATTGTGACCTGAGTCAAAATCAAGAGTTGGACACTTAACCTACTGAGCCACCAGGTGCCCTATAACATACATTCAAAGCACTCAAGTATCCATTAGTTTGTTCATTAAAAAGTTAGTTTTTCCAGGAAAATACATTAGAAGTTCTTAAACATAATTTAAATTATACTTTTGTAATCTCCTTTACATTACTATGTTATTGCTTTCTCTTATAATTAAATTGTGCTCATTTTTTACATATCACATTTCAGAAATTTTGAAACTGTTAATGTATAATGATCAACCATAAAAAATTTCCATTCTTCATTTTCTCAGACTCACTTTCCATTGATTTTTCTCCAGTTTTCTGAGATAGCCTAATACCTTATATAGCTATAGTTTCCTGCCTGTATATTTTCATTACATCTATCTGATTTCCAAGTATTCATTGATGCCCACACTTCATCACACTACCGTCCAAATACATTAATTGTCCCCTCTCTTTCATTATCTAGCACCATGCTTTTATTTAGCCAACCAAACCTATATAATGTCTGTCAGATTTTCCAAATAATTATTACTTTCTTAGATTGGCATAATCATCATAGACCTTAAACATTCTGTGCACCCAATAGTCTATACTCTTTTGAGAAAGGGTTATTGATAGAGAATGATCATGAGGGTTTATCCATCCATACAACTCATTAGGGATTTCATCGGAACGCCACAGATATATTTACTCACAGTCACACTCACTAAGTAGGAAGTGGTTGAAGGACACAGGCCTGGATTCTGACTGCCCTGGTGTAAACCTGACCTCAAAGGTGTACAGGCTAGAAAGCTTTACACTTTACTAGCTGAGCAACCTTGAGCAAGTTCTGTACTTGTCTCTGCCTTGGTGTCTTTGCTGGTAAAATGGAGTGATGCAGGCACCTACCACTGACAGCAGTCATGGGGACTGAATGGGAGTAAAGCACTTAGCAAGGTGCCCGGAATAGGACAAGCAGGTAACAAGCATGTTTTTGTTTTGTTATTATCCTTGTTTATATTGAGCTTTGGCATGAGCTCCTGCTAATAGCTAGAAAATATTATTCTCTGAAATCTTTAAAGCACCAGAGCTTCTCATATGACTGGGCTATTTCAGGACTGGTCAAGAGGCAAGAAGATAAACTGCCATGATGTCTTCCAGTTCTGAGATTTCAGAAGTGAGGGAGAGAGCCCATGTCTTACTGGAATTGTCCACCAGGTGGCACCAGTCACCCCACAGGCCCATAGCTGAACGTTTCAGAGAGGGTAACAGGTGAATCTAGACCTTTGCTCACTTCTGTGTATTAAGGGCATTTTCTTTTTCTTTTTTTTCTTTTTTAAAATTTTTATGTATTCATTTTTTAGTTTACATCCCAGTTAGTTAGCATATAGCACAATAATGATTCAGAAGTAGATTCCAGTGAGTCATCCCCTATAACACTCAGTGCCAATAAGTGTCTTCCTTAATGCCCCTTATCTATTTAGCCCACCCCTCCATCCACAACCCCTCCAGCAACCCTCAGTTTGTTCTCTGTATTTAAGAGTCTCTTATGTTTTGTCCCCTCCTTTTTTTAAATATCACTTTTGCTTCCCTTGTATATATTAAGGACACTTTCTGCCTAAGCATCCAGTGAACAAACTTCTTGTCCTTCTCCAACAACCCTTTAGGTATAGAAATCTCTATGATAGACTCTTAGTATGTCAATCTGGTCATTCAGAGGAGTCTGTATCTAATGTGCTTCTCTTTACTACAAGTAAATATAAAGGTGGGGGGGAGTCCTCAGAAAATACCTAAAATTTTTTAGTAATAAAAGCAATATGCCTTACTCATGCACTAATTATTCTGAGCAAAGTGACTATTTGGGGGAAGGAAGTGGAACAAAGTAGAATATTTGGAAAGAAACTAAGTCCCTTACAGAACTAAATTAATAGTAGATGTTAATGATACACATACTTTAAAGGAGAATGAAGTGATAGAAACTCATCCTGTCTTTACACCACACCAACATCTACCCCCAAACCAGAGATATTTATAAACAGGAAAGAATCTTGCCACCCTACACATCTGCAAACTCCCTTTCTGTGTGGAAATTAATTATACCCCAAATACAATGACACATGAGTAAAAGCATTCCTTTGCTAGGCCTGTAGCTTTAGTTCTTGGAAGAAGCACACAGATACATTTCTAAAAAGGGATGGGGAGCAGTCATTCATGTTTGCAGTTCAAGGTTTTCCAGAAAGTCCCAGGAACGCCATTACCAAACTGACGTCTCATACCCTAGACCCGTCTGGGCAGCAGTGGAACGAGCACTCTGAGAGTCTCCAGTGAGGACATGTATGCACACATTCCTCTGGGGACCTGCCCCTTCACTGCAGCACCATATACCTCCCACAGTTGTGCCCTGTTTGAAACTGAGCCAGGACATGTCTGATCCAAACAGCTTGTCACACACATTCCAACTGTTAAGGCAATGTGGGGAAAATAAACGTTCAAAGAAGTGTCTGAGAAAGAAAGGTAATAAGGCTTTAAAGTATTTTTGTAAATGGAAATTCTTCAGAGTTCTTTCCTATTTAATATTGGCTAAGGTTGACTTATTGTAGCACTTGATGTTTGAAATCATATAGAGGACATTAAAATTCCACACCAAAATTTGAAGGGAGGTCTTCCCACATTATAATAGTATCAGTGTCCAAAACAATACTTTCCTGAACAAATTCCCAAATGTTACAACTGAAGGCACAAAGCCAGGGTACAAAGCAAGTACTTCTAGCAACTATCACAGCAAGTACGAAGAAGGTACTTAGAAAGCAGATCTATTGTACTAAGCCTTTGACTGAGCAAAAGAGAAATCTAAGCTGCCATTCTGTATTTCATAAAAATCAGAGACACCAATTCTACTACAAAAAGTACATGTGGCTGATATATCAGCAACCTACAGTTTTCATTAGTCACCCTTTCCTCTCCTCCACTACTCACCTCCAACAGAACAGAGTTATGAGTAAAATGCTAAGTCCTGGACTTTCGTAAAATAATTCTGTTCCCCACTGGGACATTATGCTTGTGATCCTCTCCTGAAAGCCTACCTCTGATGCACTTAGAAAGACCCAAAAGCTTTAGAAAACCCATTACGGCAAGTATTCGCTGGCCTTCCAGGTCTGTTCTGCTAACACAGAGGCCCCTTTGCTTGCTCAGGGTGAGCGGCTGTTTATAGCCTGGACCTCTCACAATATAGACATGGAGACAGCAGGTGCAAGCAGGGAGATGCATATGCCGTAAGTTTAGAACGCCTGCCTCTGGACCGTCAGCAATTCTTCCCTAATCCCTTCCTGCCCATGGTCTTCTGTTTCCTCCACATACTCCTCTCGCTCTGCTTTATCTGGAGGAAGACGTGAGAAGCAAGGTATGACACTGAGTGCTTCCTGGAAGCCACGTGTGCAGTCTCAGCCAAAAAAAAAAAAAAAAAAAAAAAAAGAACATCTGAAATATGCCCCTTGGCTCTGTGACTGTGACCTATTTTTTCTAAGATTCAGGTGAAAAAGTACCTTGTAGTTGGCAACCATGACATTTGTCTTATCTCATATAGAAATAAATGTGCTTAACTAATGAGCTACTACAAATTCCATTGATCTTTTGAAAGAAAAAGGAAAACAAACTGCAAATCTGATTTCTTTCTGATTCAGTATTTTATGTTGTATTTTGGATTCCGAATCTTATACTCCCTTCATATCTACTCACCTTTCCGATGCTACTTTTTATTTTATTTTTAAAAAAAAATTTTTTAATGTTTTATTTATTTCTAGGAGAGAGAGAGACAGCCATGAGCAGGGGAGGGTCAGAGAGATGGAGTCACAGACTGAAACAGGCTCCAGGCTCTGAGCTGGCAGTCAGCACAGAGCCCGACCCGGGGCTCGAACCCACGAACCGTGAGATCATGACCTAAGCGAAAGTTGGACGCTCAACCGACTAAGCCACCCAAGCGCTCCCCGATGCTACTTTTTAAAGAGGCTTCACATCACTACACTTTTAGAAAGCACTGTCCTCTGGATCCGAAGGGAGCAGGGATGAGCTTGGAGGGATGTGCTGCAGGCGGTTCATCCCACATGGTAAAGGATTTATACAACTCACCCCAACTCACTCAGTTTGTATCCCTGGTGACCAGTAACAGCTTGGGCAACACCTGTCTAGGTGAGGAGTATACCCTGTGGTCACGGAACAGGGCAGAAGTCAAACCACTACTTGGCCTCCAGGGGACTAATTGTTCCAAAAGTCCACTTAACAGCAGAGGTACCATTTACTTCCATTACTACTACCTGGGTCTAAAACAAGTGCTGCTAAATTTCTGACTTACAAGAAGTCCCTGTAGTCTCACCAGCCTGAGGGTCCCACAAGGGATTTAGCCAAGTTTCAGAAGGTTTTCAGGGACCTCTACCCAGGAGGGACTGTCTAGCTCTACAATCAGCAGAAGAACATAATCGTACTTTGTCACTCAGGAATAGGTGATTTCAATTACGAAAGAAAAATCTTTGTACCCTAACATGCTGCTAAAATACAGATTTCTAGTTTTTATGGCCTATCACCCAATGTCAGTGTCCCGGAACTTCCAGATCATGTCATTATTCTTTCCTGTTCACTTAGAAGTCTTACTCCTGCACAACAATTCCTGTATTGACGTCACTTTGCCCAGGCACCAGGAATATTCCGTGCCATCATAATTTCCCCCATGTAACCTGAATGTTTTCTAATGCCATGCCTACCCATTCTATCTTTTCCCGCATCTTTCCTGTCACCTCCAATATCACAGGGTTAGGAGAAGATAGGTGTCAGCCCCCTTTGGATCTGAAAGTTCTCTGGGAGTCCACATTAAAACAAATGTCAGCAACTGTGTAGGCTTGTAGTGTGCATGATGAGACCCACTGAAACAGGTTCTGTGGTATCACATCCTGACAGTTACCATGCATGTGGTTCCGACCTGAACCTCCTCAGGGAGCACGTGGCCAGAGCCTGCCTGAAGAGGAATCTGCCCAGATGCAAGGAGGGACAACACATGCCCTCTCGTTTTGCTCTGAGCCTGTTGAGCCTGTTGACGGAGCAAGAGGAATACCATGGACCCCACCCCTTACTCACACTGACAACTGTGACATCAGCATGGCTCAGTCATGCATGGAATGCCCAAAAACAGTCTTCTTGCTAATGCCAAAGAGCCTTTCTACACGTACACACCCAGCAATGGCCATTTGGAATTTGGGTATCCCCTATCCTACAGTCATCTGTCCAAATAGAGAGAGATGGCAATCTTGTTTGTGGCATTGATGAAGCTGGCACAGCAACCCTGAGCCCAAGCTGCACCTGTCACTAACTGCCCCACAGAGCACAGAGCATTGGCACAGGGCAGCATGGGAGGCTCAGTTAGGCAAGGAATGATGAGGCCCGCAAAAAACAGAGAGATTCTAAACTATCAGATGCATGGAATGAGATCTCTTCATTTTGAAACTATAACATCCTTTCCAAAGAAAGCATTATAAATTCAATTCAGTTTAACTCAGTAGATGATTATATGCATGGGGCCATATTAAGTGTGGCACACAAAAATCTGGCTGGCCCAAAACCCTAGTGTTTACTACATGTTTTCCTAGTGTTCATATAGCATAACATGTAAGTTTCCATCTTCAGCTTTGAAAGGATAAGTTGCTTATTAACATTACCTGAGAATGTTAATAATAGACAATGAAAAAATTTTACAAATTCTTCTATTAAAGTACTCAAGCTTCAGGATAATTTATCGGCCCCATAACTGCCTTAACAAAACTGTGCTTCATTGTGGAAATTGCCACTAGACCATAAACTTTCGTTATTCTTGAAAACATCACTTTTTCTGCCCAAGGTAATGAAATAAACAGTAATATTTTGTCCCATCCAACAGAATAATCCCTCTGTGTTCTTGGAAAACAAATGGCCTTACACAAACACTAAAGAATTCTGCCATGAAGGAAATTAAAAGTTAAATTTTAAAGGAACTGTTCTCGTAATTGTCCAGTTCAGTTGCTTTCAGAATGGACCCCAGAATACCATGGACACTTCTCAATTCCCAGGGGGTTTTGCATGAAGACTTGGCAAGGAGGACCTCAGCCCCATACCAACATACAGCAAAAATTCATCAGAAAAAGAAATCCCACAGGCCATAAGTATAGGAGTACATATCCAAGGCTTTACCTCCCTACAGAGTTCTTAGCCAAATATAATCCTTTAGATATACTATTTTTTCGCACAATTTAAAACTGACCAACATTTTGTTTTCAAAAGCACTAAGCATACACAGAGATGCATAATTCTTTTATCAGAATGAACCAAGAATGAGAGCATTTCTGAGCCTAAAACAACTGCGCTGTCCATAATATGTACTAAACCAATGCTATTACAGTTAACCCTTGAACAATGCAGCATTAGGAGCGCTGACCTTACGTGTAGTTGAAAATCTGCCTATATTTTTTAACTTCCCTAGGAATAATAGCCTACTCTTGACCAGAAGTCTTACTCATAACAGTTGATTAACACATACTTTGTATATATGTTTTATACTGTATTCTTACAGTAAAGTAAGCTAAGAATATAATATGTCATTAATAAAAGCATAAGGAAGAAAATACATTTATAGGACTACACTGTATTTATAAAAAAGAGTCTGTGTGTAAGTGGACCCACACAGTTCAAACTATATTGTTCAAGGGTCAACTAGCTGTACATATTTCCCTTATTGGAAAAGATGAAAAATAAAAGCAAGGAATGAGAAGAAACAAATATTTACACACTCTGGCAGACAGCTGTTATTTCTGGGAAGACCATGAAAAAATATAAACCTTCACTAGACCTTTTAATGAAGCAAACATAGAATGTGCTTTTCCCTTCTTCCTTGGGGGGGAAAAATATTTGGCTCAGAAAATGGTCAGTTTTAAGACCTATAAGGGGTTTGGTCTTTTGGAATTATGAATTAAAGAAAGGACATCATAAATTATGATACTGACAAGGAAGAAGCCCAACACAAAATGTCACACATTGTATGAATCCATTTATATGAAACTTCCAGAACAGACAAACTCATAGAAACAGAAAGTAGATGATTGCTTACTTCAGGCCAGAAGGAGGAAAGGAGGGGAGATGATGAGGTCTCTTTGCGAGGGAATAAAAATATTTGGGAATCAGAGAGTGGTAATATTTGCACAACTCTGGAAACATACTAAAAAACACTGCATTGTATACCTTGAAAAGGTAAATTTTGTGAGGAAATTCAGGCCCTTGAAAACAAGCTCCTTGAAAAACCAGCGAGGAAAAGAATTGAATATAAGACCAAAGAATGACAGAATGGGTTAAAGAGAACTCTGATTTGATGAGGTTTTTTTTTCTTTTTTGAGCTCTTTGAACAGAAGATCTGTATCTGATTATTCTTTTTTATTCTTGCTACAGAATTAAGTACAATGCTGTGTAAGAAGTGTGCTCAAAGGAACTGTGTGAATTGGCCATCGATTAAATGATGATAGAACACATGACAAGCTGTCTCTGAAATGATTTAGAGATGACAAAGCTATCCATTCTGTCCCTTTACTGTCACTACCATTTCCTACAGAAACACGTTGTCCTTCTTACCTGACGTTACAGTGTAGCCCAGTCTTGTGCAATTTGGTCTTACTCGTGGTAAAGTTTGTCTAATTTTCTAGAACTGTTATCTTTATAAATCACCTATGCACTTATATTTTCATATTAGTGTCCTGGCTTTTACCTCTCAAGTAAATGAAAAAGATGTAACATTCACCAGATACACCCAGTCAATTATTTTTCTATTTGTGCTATGATCACCATAAGCAGGCATTAAAAAGACTAGTTGGAAAGCCAGCTAAAACAAACACAGGCTTTGCCAGGGAGAGAATGTGTTTCGCTAATGCCCATGAACCACAGCTAAGAAAACTGAATGGTGACATTGTAGAAAGAGATGCTTTTTACCTGTGATAAATAAATCACGCAGGTTTGTAATATCATCGGGTGCTATCTCTTTAAAAGCACACAGAAAAGTTCACCCACATGGTGATGTTAAAGGGACACATGTTATGACCCCATTTTACAGAGAGAAAGTAAACAGGTTAATTCCCTTCTAGTGCCCTCTTCATACAATATGGATACAAGGAGCAGATGCTGTGGAGCACACGGGAAATGCAGTCTCCAGAGAGGGGTGTGCATGTCGTGGGCGCTCAGGAAATACTGCGTATGAATATCATTGTGTTACCACTACGAGAAGCCTGAAATCTGAAACTAGAAAAGGAGAATATGAAGATATGGAGGAAAACCATCGCTGGAAATTGCACCCTTTGCGCAGCACATACCTGCAGCAATGTACCCGCCTCCGCCGGCTTTATAGAGAACGTGGCTCGCGAAGGGGGCTGCACAGATGATCAGAAAGCTCGCGGTCACCACGACGACGACCCCCAGAAGCATCAGGACTGCCCAAAAACCACGGTAAACTAGAGACCCGGGGGTGGGGTGAAGGAGAAAAGAAAAACACACTTAGTTTGTGAACACTGCTTTAGATGGTACCACCCAGTTTCTTTCCTCTTTATTGTTCTGATTTCAGCCACAGCACTGCTGGGCGCAATCCCAAGCCACAGGTCCCGACTTAGATCCAAGGAAACCTCACTAGATAACTCTGTACTCAATGATTTCGACCTTCAGTTCACCCGTGTTCGGCATTTGCGCCGCACACACGCTCATTATATTCTAGGAGCTCATTTTCCTGAACAAATTTTCCATTTTAGAAGTGGAGATATTCCAAAACTCTGGAAAGAGTACCCTTGAGTAAGTAATTGGGTCACAGATAGGGTTCCATACCAAACATACAAAGACATGAAAACGCATCACGTTTACAAATATGGCCTCTTACCACCACTATAATTCACTAGAAGGTAATAATCACTCCAATCCCGTAAAAGAAAAGTATACTTCTATTAAAATTGTGATGCCATAGGAAAGTAGTCTTCAGGTAATAAAAATAGCAAGTAAAACCAAAAATAAAAGTTTGTACAGACTGAGATTTTAAATCAGGTTTATTTAAGGCACACTATTTTCTACCAATATTTTTTCTTAGAAAGACTCAAAATGAGAACTTAGAGTAATCTCTTATGCCTGGACCAGCAAGGCTGAATTAATGGGTGCAGCTGGTGATAAATGGATTTTGGGTTTGGTGATACATAGTAATCAAATACAGAGGAATTCTAATGATCATTTTTGAGCAGGATAATTACCGATCTATTAAACAAATTCATCATTTCCCAAGGGCTAAAACACTAAAATAAGTACCTTTTGGTGTAAATGAGAGAAAGCTCCATAAAACACATTAGTCAAGTTACCTTTTTTCATGAAAATATAGACTTGATATAAGAAAGCAGAAAAAGAAAAAAAAGAGTTTTCTCCACAAGCCCACCTGGCAAGGAAAAAACATGTCCATCAGCTGAAATCTTATAGAAAAGAGGATGGGACGATGGATATTTGCGGGGAGAAGGCACTGCAGTTAAATGGGAAAGGCAGGCTGCACATTTTGTGTGGCCACCTCTGAAAGACAGGGGTGAAATGCCGGTTTGTACCCCTCGTGCCCATGCTGTTCACTTGACAGTGGCTTCCAGGTCTGCAGTGTAGGAGGATTCTATGGCTGCATTTGGGCTCTGCAGGCAGCTACGCAGTGGAGAAGGACTGATCATTTTTGAGCGTGGGAAGAGTGGCAGACTGTGAGCCAAACGTGTGCTGTCCAGGTTCTACCAGAATTTGCTGGAGAATTGGCAAGCTTCGCAGTTTACATTTTCATTCATTCACACACACACACACACACACAGACACAGACACACACACACACACACACAAATATCCCTTCACATTGGTGAGCCTCACATTTATCATGTGATAGGTTCTGTGGCAAGTGCTAGGGGTGAAAACGTGAATAAGAGGCAGGCCAGGGAATAAGAAGCCCATTCAGTATTTCCCCTGATCACGACTAAAACGTGGACCCACAAGGCAAATAACTATCTGAGGAGTTAGAAATGTAAACAGTAAGTAGGCAACTTTCAGCCTAAGGAAAGATAAAATTGGCTACAAAGTGTTTTCTGAGTTCTTCCTTTTTTTTTTTTTTTTTCCCCTCTTCCTAGATTGGGCCTGAAGACAAGCCAGATTTGGAACTTTGTAAAAGGTGCAAACAGAAAACAAAAATGAAAACAAAAACAAAAACAAAACCCATAGTTACGATCATCATTCTGGCTAAATCAGAAGGAAACGGGGTCCCTGTGAGCCAGAGTACAAGGATAGTCCCAGTGTTGAATTTTTTTTTCCTCCTACTCCTGCCCTCAAGGCTTCAGAAGTAGATCTGCACGGCTACCCCAGGGAGGCATGGACACTTAAGATCCCAAGTGATGATTTAACCCTTTGGCTATAAGAATGAGAAAAAGGGACCCCAATTTGTAAGGAATGAGGTAACCACTGCTGTAGGTTTTCTCTTTTCTTGTGCTGCTTTGCACTGTACTACAGTTGCATGGAACTGGGCTATGGCTCAGGAGGCCAAAACTCAGAAAACCCTAATCTTTCCAGCCAGAAAAACTGGAAACGTGGGCCTTGGAAGCCTGAGGGTGTGGGAGAAACCCCACAAATGAGAGAGACCCAAGGAAGAGAATGTCTAATTCTGGGTTTGAACCTACAGCAGTGATGAGCTTACTCCCCAAGCTGTGCATGTGCAGAAAATGCCCAGAGCAGTTCAGTGAAGGCTTTGAGAACAAATTACAGTATCAAAACCACCCAAGTACCAGAGCCCTGAGTGGCACATGCCCCAGGCAGACCCAAACAGCATAGCAAAGGCTTTGAAATTGACCTTGCAAAGACTACCACAGAAGTAAAGGACAGACATGCAGGTGGATCGCCCCTTTAAACAACAAATCAATGTTCTCCAGAGGGTTTTTTACAATATGCAAAGTCTAGCAATATAATGCAAAATGTCTAGGCTATAACCCAAGTCACTTGATACACTAACATTCATGAAAATCTGACCAATTCTCAAAGGAATGAGCAATCAGCAGACGCCAACCTAAAGATGGTTCAGATGTGTCAATTCTCATACAGACATTAAAGCAGCTAAGCAGCTACTCCATTTGCTATGAGCCAAGGTAAACACTGTTGAAATGAATAGAAAAATAGAAATTCTTAGAAGAGATAAAAATAATAAATTGAAGTAAAAAATATAATATCTGAAATTTAAAATCCATGAAGTGAACTCAATAGCAAAATGGAGATGAAAATGAAGCAGGCAAAACTTGAAGACAGAGCAGTAGAAATTATCCCAATTGGAAGAACAGAAAGAAAAGCAATTGAAACCAAAAATGGCTAAGGTCTCAGAGATGTGGGAGACAATATCAAAAGATGTCACATTTGTGACACTGGAATCCCTAAGGAAGAGCCAGACAATGTTGGTACAGAAAGAACATTCATCGAAATAATGCCTGAAAACTTCCCGGACTTGTTTAGATAACAGAAACTCAACAAACTCCAAAAGGAATAAACAAACAAACAAACAAAAATTAGCCCAGACACAGAATAAAATCACAAAATAAAAATCAGAAAAACATAGATAAAGAAAAGAATTTTGAACATAGTCACAGGCAGGTTGGGGGAGGGGAAGGGGATGGCATATTAAATGCAGGAGAACAGTAATGCAAGGACCACAGTTTCTTATGAGATATAACAGAGGCCAGTAGACAGTAGAACATCTTCAAGGTGCCAAAAGAAAAGAACTATCAACCTCAAATTCTGTTTCTAGGAAAGATACCTTTGAGGGATGAAGGTGACTTTATCAAAGCAGACCTATTCAATACGGACATTCGAAAATGGATTTCTTTAGGTTGAAAGAAGTGATGCCAGGGTTCACTTGAAACTTCAGGGATAAAGGAAGTGAAACAGAAAAGGTGAATATCTGCATAAATGTAGTCTCGTATTTTTCTCATCTTAATTTCTTTAAAATATACCTGCCGGTTGAAATACAAAAATATACTATCAGCAAAATATGGTAAAGAAGTAAAGCTTTTGGAATCAGAGAAACCTGAGTATTTACCATTTCCATGTGATATAACCAGTTACTTAAGGTTCCTGAACCTCTATCTCTTCTCTAAAATACAGATGTTTGTATCCATCCTTTACAGTTACTGGAGGAATTATTAATGATGTATGTGAAGTGTGTGACATACAACAAGAGATCAACGAATGGCATTTATTTTGTCATTGCTTTTATTCACATTATTATTTAAATTGCATCAACACTATGCAGCAGGTGGTACTGTGTTCAGTAACAGGAAAAGTGAATTACTTCCCTCAGAGATGCTTGCATACTGCTTTTAGGTACCATCGATGCTTGGAAATCCCTTTCGATTACTACACAGGATGCAGTAGGGAAGTTGTGTTTGACCAAGCTCTTTCATACCGTTTTCCTTGGGAAGTTTCCTTGTCCCCTAACCTCCAAGAAGGCACTGGCCATGTTTTATAACGTGTGACTGTATTTCTAAATACACGGAATACAAACAAACGGAGTCAGACACTGAACAAAAGACAGCTCAGACATGGTGACTTCGGATCCACACCTGATGATAACCGACGTTTTGTAAAGATGAGTTGGACTCATCAGAGTGATCCCTGGAGAACTGGAAAATTAGATACCTGAGGTGATTAGTAGAGGGTTGAAGTTAAAGGAAGCACTGGTCGCTGGGTCCAGAAGAGCCACATGCGAGCAAGAAGTCAGGCATTATGACTCGGGCCACAGAGAGAGAGGGCAGAAACAGCATGACATGCCTCTCCACAGAGAAGAGCAGAGGAACTGAAAGAAGGAGAGGAAGTACCTGGTGAGGCACAGAGAGAAAGAGAGCAAGACAAAAATGCGGATAAATGCTCCCCAGAGCTGCTGCCAGGTCCTGTCCTGTTGTTTGCTCTCACAAAATAGCCTGACTTTTGATTCTGAGTCCCCTGTAAAAGGCAAGAATGACAGATCTGTATTTGAGGGAAGGGGAACCTCAGTCCTGAAGAGTTGTGACTGTACCGAAATTGCTTCCAAGTGTGTGTCTTGATTGCAGTCACTGTGTGCTTTAGTTTTCTACTTGTGCTTCAGCATTCAAAAGTACGTAACTTCAAGCCTATTGCAAAATGTTTTGGAACTTCCTGTTCCTTGGCTAATTATATCACTTACTTTGCATATGTGGCACACTTTGATTCCAGAATTAAAATGTTCACCCATAATTAAGAATCATCTTGCAGAATTGGGTAGAGTTTTTTACTGTCTGAAGTAAAACTGAGGTGATCAGAGAAACTTCAACATAAAATGAATGAAGTATATGTGTTTTGGGAGTCAAACATGATATTGGGGCCCTTCCACGAACTAACTTGTGTGACGCTGAAGGACCACAGTTTTCTTAGATGGAAAACAATATCCTTCACATAAGTTTATAGA